TGAAAAGTAGCTGTTGGGTTAACTCCATAGTCCACCTCAATTGTCAGGTACCAGCACTGTCTGGGTTCTTACCACTCCAGCAGCAGAGCGGGATGGAAGCTGCGAGTGCTGCCATGCATAGCAACAGATTACGGCCTCTCACCAATTTTGTGAAGGCATTTGCATTGTGGTTCAGGTAACTGCTTCTGAGGAATTAACCGTGTAAAACAGGAACAGTATCTGCTTGCGTGGAGACATCTCTCAGCTTACTCTGTGCATGTGATAAATAATGCAGTTTATGTAAAATGGAAGTTGTCATTCCTACTTAGCACTTGAGTTTGACTTTAATACTGTATGTTAACTGCAGTTCCTCTGATATTGATTCCCAGTGTAGCAGCTATACCTCTTCTATATATTGAAACCTTGTTTCATTCTAGTGTAAATTTAATTATGAAGAAATTTTCTATTGTTTCTGTACAAGCCTTCTAAACTGTTAGTGTAGTGAAGTTCCTGGCTTATACTGTTTTAAAACAGTATTTTCAGAGGTTGATGGTAACTTTGAATTTGTTCTACCTGTGCAGCTTTGGTTATTGTACAATGAAAATGCATGCAAGTACAACATTTGATGTCATACGTGACAAGCTCATCTGCTGTAGTAGAATGCCGTGTGAATGAAACAGGCAGAGTGGATTCTTGCGGGGTTTCTTTAGGACATTAGCTGTACTTTAAAGAGACCAATTCCCGTGTTTTAAAAGCTGTGCAATTTTGGACTTTTTATGGGGAGCGTGCATACTCCTCCAGTGAAATTTATATTTTAAAAGGTATTTTTTACCTTATTCAGATAAAACTCTGAATTACATAATGTCCTTGTCTGATGGTCTACCACTAGATAAATGCAGCATTTGTATCCATTATTGCCCTTGGCATTGCCAACAAAGATATTCCAAAAAATGTCGTGGGGCTCTGATGTTCGAGAGGAGTAAAGATAAACCCCTCTCCTCATGTAATCTGGTGAATAAGGTTGCAACAACAGTTCTTGACTTATGGTTTGGGGAGAGATGGAGTATGGAGAATGCTATGTGAAGTCTAATTGTTGTTTATTGTGTATAAATCCAAGAATTTGAAGCATTACTTAAAGATTTGGTATCATTTAAGACATGTTCTGACTTTAAAACCAGGTTTCATACAAACTACATTTTGAAGCTCTCTCATATGACAAGACTCCTATCGAATGATCTTCACAGATGAGGATCTAGAATTTTCAAGCTGAACTTGAAATGTAGTACAGATTTTTCTAATTTATGTTTAATTTGCTGTTGAAGTACTGAGGCCTGTGCAACAGGCAGGCCTCGAACCAAAGCTGACTTCTAGATGAACCCCTCCAAGGGGACATCATATAGTATTAGTACCTGATCATTAGTAAAGTATGTAAGCAAATAGCTTAGTTAAAGTATAGTCACTAGTGAAGATCAAATATCATGAGACTGTACCCTTCTTTCCATGTTCAGTCAAGGCCATAGGACCAGATGTCCAGCCTTGGTTGGAACAATGTGGTCAAAGATAAACTCCCTTGGTAACATCCCTGTGTGTGCCTTAATACTGACTGGTGGCCGTGTGGGGGGGGGGGGGGGGGGGAGGGAATCTAATGGAGAATGAAGCCAGATGTTTCCACATTTGAAGTGATGTAAGCTTGTATATTCAATAGTATAAAAAGCTGGACCCTCATGCAGCAACTTTGGAGACCTTGCTTACGAGTAGATGCACTGCATAGGGCCTTCCAATTGCTGGGACAGGTTCTCCAGATCCTCACTGCAAGTGGGGCTCCCCAGTGACTGCAGGTCTAGATGATGGTGGTTAGGGTAATTGGTGATGTATCTTATCACTATGGCCAATCACAAATAGTAATACTTATTTTCTTTGTACTATTTTGTCTTTTATTTTGCTGCTTTGCACTATATTATCTTATTCTGTTTTATCTGTACTTATTATTTTATTGTTATTGCTTTAACCATAAGTAAAGACAAGCTCAATTCTTTAATTTGTTGTCTGTGTCCCTTGTGCTGACCCTGTCTATTGGCAAAACAGCTGTATGTCATGTTTTAACATAGTTTACCATTATTGTAAACCATAAGTGTTGTTAGTTACTTTCCTGACTTCCAGAACACACAAGATGAAAAACTTTGCCTATCTACTTCAATATTTTGGAGAGAACAGGATAAGTTACAAGGTCTACTTAGAACCTTTCTCGGTTTCCCTCATCTTTAAAGGTATTTTGTTACAATGACTGTTTTTCTCTCATGGGCAAAATAGGCGAGTTTACTTCAGTTCACTGGATTTGTCCAGACATTTTGCAACAGCGACAGTATGGAGTTTGGACTTCTTCTCATGTCCTAATCCAGTATTGAGTCCTAGGTAGTAAGCCTATCTCAACTAGATTCAGAGTTGTCATCTTCTTTTTATGTGATCTCAAGATTCCCTAGGTGTTTCAGAACTGAAATTTAGATGTGAAGTGTTTTTTCTTGAATTACTGATAACTGCTTTTATGTCCTCTCTACCATGACAGTAGTAGTACTCTTCCACAGAGCTGATAGGTTGCTTCAGAGTGCTGATCCACCCAAAAGCTGGTAAGTTTTTTGCTCGTTCAGTTTTTGGTCAGACCAGCTCCCTTTGTGGAACTTCAGTAGTTACATGAGGACTAGGGCTGACATGAGAGAAGAGATGACAAAGAGCAAAATGCAGCAACCCAATGGTCTAAGAAGCATTAGGACTTTGATTCTTTTTTCAGGTGATTGTCTTAAAGGCATACTTCAGGCAATCTGCTCCTTTCCACACAGAGCACATGGTAAATCTGACCCTTTAAAGTCAGACTTCTCTCTTGTATATTTGTTTGCGGTGTACCAGTGCCTGAAATAACTTGATGTAGCCTGAAATTGTTTAGCAGAAATAAACAATTACTGAGGGGGTGTTTATACTTATCACTTAAAGCCTGTTCTTTTTGAAATTAAAAGTATTTATTTGTATTTTACTTGGTTTCTTTACAATGAACTTTTTTAGAGAGTGGCTTGTATTTCTTCTCAGCTTTAAAGGAACAGTGTATGTTTTATGTAAATCAGTGTCCTCTTTCAAAGCACATCTGCCACTTGTGTACCAAAATGACCAGAATTTAATAAGTAGCTGTGGTCATAACTGAGTATTTGTTGCCCTTAGATTGTGTGGCATTAGTACAGTTTAGGATCCATACCGAAACTGTCTTACTGATTTTCTTGTGAGCTAGACTTGTACAAAATTAAACAGATGGACCTTTTTAGGTTAACAATTTCCTACCTTCCCTCTGTTGCCTGTGAATAAACTTTTTTTCCTGTCTGTATGCCTGCTGTATTACAGACCAGAAAGTAAAAACTGAGTTTATTATGAATGCTGTTGATTGACAATGTATTTCTAAGGAATTAAATAACTCTTCAAACACATGTAGAGCTTCTCTTTCAAGGGAAGTGCATAAATACTGTCATTTAATGCATTTTTCTTTATGGACAAACTTCAGGAATGAAATAAAAAGCTTGTTGAAATGATCTTGTAATTAAAATATTTGTGCATCTCAGCTGTAGTATGTGTGAAATAGTCAACAGTCTTCTGATGCGTTACAAAACAGAGACTTTAGGGTTTGTACCTAGATGCTGTACCACCTGCTTACCACACTCATAAAACGGGCTGATTTGAGGCTTTTCCAGCTCTCAAATGGGAATAATGTATCATTTCTTACAAGGAAACTCAAGATATTCCATTCTTATGCTTTTACTTACTATATTAAATCTCTTAGAATTTTTGTTCCTGTGGTTTTGGGACCCTGGAGTGCAGATCTAGCACAGGAGTGTAGGGAACAGCTTGCTCTGCTGTGTTGCTGTGCCCCGTCCACTCTTTGCTGCTGGTCACTGGGTGTTGTGCTGTGACCCACATTCACCCTGCCTGCACGCTCTGTCCTCTGGCCCTCTTCCAGTTTTGCAGCACTGCTCCAGTTTATAGAAGTCTGCAGCAAATACGCAAACAGCGCAAAAGCAAAGAGGCTTAGAATCAGGCTCTTCTCTGTATGTTTTTGTTCCTTTGAGGGGATTTGTTTCATCTTTAGGTTCCATCATGCATATAGAGAAAGCAATGCTGTAAGATCTGTGTTTTTATAATGGGACTGAAGGAGAGCTGGAGTACAGCTAAATAGAGGGAATGAATTTGATATGTGTCTGAAAAAAAATAAGATTATGAACGTGTTTCAAAGTGGTGTAATTGTTAATTGGAATGTATCGCTCTTAGCAGGTTTAATAATTAGTTATACCTCAGCATGTAGTTCAGTGGCATGGTTTAGTGCATGGGAAGGTCGAGTGATCTGTCCAAAAAACACACTTGTGGCTTTGATATGTACGTGAGTGGTGAGATTGCCCTCTGAGTAATGAGACTGTATTATGGTGGGTAAGAGGACTGGCAAACTTACCAGGCATGTGAATGAAACTTATTCTTGTTTCAGTTTTCTACTCAATGCTTATGTGAAATTGAGGCGCAATAGCACTGTGGGTATGCCTATGAGCTGAAGCTGCCAGAACCTTTCTGTATAGTTGTGACACCCCACGGGCATTGTTTCTTTGGATACAATGAAACTGGTTTGACATTTTTAAAAACCGGTTAGATACTAACACTTAAAATAGCCAGCATGCCCAAAAAGGATGGTCGGGTAGAATACTATATATGGAAAAATTACTTCTTTTAAAATTTGCTTTAAGTGTATCTTTCTGTGTGGGGGAAAAATATTGAACTGTTTTTAGAACTAGTGTATGAGTTTCGCAACTTTTAGGCAGTGTTCTTTAGAAGTATTTGTGCTTGGAGTCTGTATTTAGTACTGTTTTCTGGGTGCCTGGGGGTGTTTTTCTTAAATACACTTCTTGCAATAAAGTTAGTAGATGGTCTTTTATGCCTAATTGTGGAAATTGGTTACATTGGTGTATTTTAAAAGTTTAACTTTTTTCTCCGCAGGCGCACCTGTAGAGTCTTCTCCAGAGGAGCAGACAGCCTCTTGTGAAGGTAATTTTTTTCATGTTCTGATGGTACCCAACACAGATCCATTAAACATTATTTTAAAAAATTTATTGCAAAGAATCGCCTTTCTAAAAATCTCTGTGAACCTTTTCCAATGTTCATTCTCTTTATCCTCATACTACTATTTTAAGGCAATGTTGTTATCTGTGGTTGTTTACAATTTTATAGCCAGTTGAGCAAGGCACAGAAAGACCAAGTGGTTTATTGAAGGTCATAAAGCTTGCATGAACCAGAATTTTAAAAATTGAATCTGTATATTAAGTAGTATTGGCAAGTGCCCAAACATCTGAATTATCCTTTTATTAATTCAGTCACTCCGTTTTTCTTTGTTCTTGGCAAATCATGGGAATCTTGGTATCATGGTAAATATTTGTCCTTAATGAATCCTTTTTTTTTTCCTTTCCATAGGTTCAAATGCTGCTGTTAATATGGAAATTTCAGAATCTGTTGGTAAGATGAGAATTGTTCCATTTTTCTATGCTATTAGTATAAAATACTACTGTAGTGCTTTTGCTGAATCATTGCAAACAAAATTGGAGAATGCCTTATTAAACCTTTGCATTTTTGGTCCTCACTAATTTTCGTTGTGTTGTTATACCTAGATTGGGAAGGAGGTAATTGAACACTAGTATTCATTGACAGGTGCCATTGGATTACTTGGACACTGAAAAAGCATCAGTGCTTTATTAAAAAATAACTTCATATTACAAAATAGCCCCATTAGTATGTGTGAAATGGTGATTAACAAAAAACTTTAAAGCGATCAGTAATATGAGCAATCAGAACATGAAATTGTATCTTTCTCCTTGTATTTGTATGGCTTTTGAGAGAACTTAAACCATTATTCCTCTCCTTTTCTTTCTAAACATATGGTAGCATGTGTCTGTGGATTCAGACCAGCATGATGGTGTGAGTGGATCTTCAGATTTGTTTTTTTCTTTGTAAAATTGTTGCCTTGTTAAAACAAATCCTTTAATTTCATTATCTATTTGAATATATCTAACTGGTTAATTTTTAGTGGAAAATGGAGAGACAGAAATGTCCCCAGAAGAGTCATGGGACCACAAAGAAGAAGCAAGTGAAACAGAGCTAGGAGGTGGTCCTGCAGGGCCTTCTGAAGAAAGCGCTCAGGAAATGATGGAAGAGGAGGAGGAAATACCAAAACCGAAATCTGTTGTAGCACCACCAGGTGCTCCTAAAAAAGAGCACGTAAATGTAGTATTCATTGGGCACGTAGGTAAGTTGTAAGTGAATGTGAATTAATTGGGTCATTGTGTTGTGTGTCACCTAGAACTTAGAGGATTAGAAATTAATCCTGCTCTTTGTAGGGATCTATGTATTCACTGTGTCTTGAAGTTAATAAGAGCACTCGTTCTAAGGAAGCTGCTCTGGAAAAATTAAAAAACTTTAAGAAGGTCTTTCAGTGCCAAGGGTAGAGTGCCTGTGTTCATGATTTCTCAAATACCTGCTCTACTGAGTGCTTAGGTGATATATATGTATTTATGATCTAAAGAACAAAATTGGAAAGCAGTTTTAAATATCTTGTTAAATCTGATTGTGTTAAATATTTTCAGAGGGTTCTTATTAATTGTTATTAAATTCAAAAATTATTATTCCAAATATTAAAAATTGTAGTGCTATAAACAATCGATGAACATAAATCAGGATTAAAAGAAGCATTTACAGCAAAATGTCCCAATTAAATGGTTTCAACAAGCTTCAGAAAAATCTTAAGTGGTGTCAAAAGTACAGAAGAAATATTGAGTCACAAGTTCTACAGTAAATTTTATATTTTCATTTGTATAGTCTCTTATCTTAAAAGTACTGTAACTTAGTCCTTGGGTAAATTCAGAATGGAGTCACACAAAGTAAAGAGGGAGTGGGCAGAGGTACATCCCAGCTATTGCAAGAGCTTCCCACACTCCTAACCCACACTTTTGCTGAATTGCTGCTTGTTGAGGGTTGGTTTTTTTGTGATAATACCAAATTTATATGTGTGAAAACAGAATTTTCAAAATTCAGTGTAATTGAA